GTAATACTACCGTTGTTCCGTTAATTGTTTTCATAGATTTTATTGCATCGCGACCGCGTCGAGTCATCCGCGATCGGGAAGCAGGCACAAAAGAAAAAGATGAAATCGCTCCTTAATCGCGGGAATGAACAATTCATCGCCGTTCTCGATAAGTAACACAACGCGCGCTGCAATATTTAAGTCAATGATTCCGCTCGACCACAACCGGCGCTCGATCGCCTGAGAGATCGGGACTGGTTGTGCCCGGCGGGTGGATTGGCAATCCAGAATTTACAACGTTCTCAAACCGGGAAGGGAACGAACTTGAGAATTCCATTTCGACATCCCGTCTATTCAATTATTTCGGCGTGTACTACCTGTCCTAGCGCCATTCGTAAAATAGGAAGTGATCATGCCATTAAATTAGAAGGACGCGTTATTTATATACTCGTGTGTATCGACGAGATTCGATTTCGGTAGCGAAGCGGACAAGAGGTAAAACGGAAATTAAGAATTGAACATCGATAAAATGAAACATAAAAATCGCGTTATTTATAATTAATTTGTTGTGCGTGTACGACGATTGATTATATTTTACGAGTGACACGGTACGGCGTAAAATAGTGGAAGATACGTTGATTTTTCACTGGAGCTGCGCGTTTGTTTAAGAAAAAAAGAAACAAACAATATGATCGCCGATCGTCTGTGCGAAATAAATCGAGGGATCGATAGAATTCATAGATAACCACTCTGGAGGGGAGTTTCCCTCCGTTTCCCGGAAACGAGCGATCGATTTCGATCGGGCGGATTTAGTCAATTAGAGAATCCCGCGGGATATTTCGCACAGGTGGGCGTCAGGCGACCGCGAAAGGCCCCGGAGATTAGAAAGATGAAAGATATATAGATATTATATATAGATAAATGTATATGTAGTATATATGTCGGATGTACACAGGCATGTAACAATATCGAGCGCTTTTGAAGGATCGATCGCGCGAGGAAGCGCACGCGACGCGGCCGCGGCTAGCCAGGACTATTTTTCTAAGTTGCAAAGTATAATAAATTAACGACGTGTTGCATTATCGTTACTAGAGTATATTATAATGTATATTGATATTTTAACTAGGCGAGATAAGTATGAGATAATGTTACGAGCGAGTAATATAACGAGAACTATATATCATAATAATTATCAGGATTATCGCGCGATCCAGCGATAATTGCAATTAGCAGAGGTTCGCGCGTGCGGTCGATTCACGCGTGTGACGCGCGCGGCGCAATTAATTAGTCGAATGCGAGTTAATCGCGAGACGAATCGACGAAGTTGCGGGACGAGCTCGCCGAGACGCGCCGCTCGAGGGACGAGAGGAACAACGTTTCGAGCGGCTTTGTCGATTCGCGAAAATGCGAGAGGGAGGCGCGAAAGAGACTGTAGTGGAATAAATGGAGCAATTAGGAGAGCGAATGCACGTAGGCGAGTATACGGGGGGTGCGTTTGAACGCGTGTGGATGCACGTGTGTGTATTTTGTGCGACACGGGTGCGAATGTGCGAGAGAGGGAGCAATGAATAAGCGTGTGTCGTTCTTCGGCCGCGGAGAGTAATAAAAGAAAAATAATGAATCGTTCTGTCAGTCACCTCATCTATATTATACAATATCATAATAATATGCTGCCATACGATATAAATATATGTCTACGGTAAGGAGTATATTAATAAAACATTAAATAAATATGTTATAAGTAATCGTCTACTACATCTGTGCCTGCATCCCTCCTCAGCCAGATTTCAGCATGAGACTCAAGTGGAAGCGCGATTGGTTCAATTTGAATAAAAAATTGATTTTTTATTCATTTAAAAAGATCGAAGGTAAGTAAACTGCGGTCGATGTTCACAAATCAAATTAGTATTGCGAGAAATGTAAATAATAATAATATAATAAAACATTACAAATAAATATATTGTAAGTAATCATCTACGTCTGTGCGCGCCTCAGCCAGATTTCAGCGTGAGACTCAAGTGGAAGCGCGATTGGTTCAATTTGAATAAAAAATTTGTCCATTTAAAAAGATCGAAGGTAAGTAAACTTCGGTCGATGTTCACAAATCAAATTAGTTTTGCGAGAAATGTAAAGGATTAATAATTCAAAAGAATAATAATATAATAAAACATTAGAAATAAATGTGTTATAAGTAATCATCTACGTCTGTGCGCGCCTCAGCCAGATTTCAGCATGAGACTCAAGTGGAAGAGCGATTGGTTCAATTTGAATAAAAAATTTGTCCATTTAAAAAGATCGAAGGTAAGTAAACTTC